CTGGCTTCTTTCACTTAGCATAATGTTTTTGAGGTTCATCTATCTTGTGTGTATGCATCACTTGCTTCTTTATATCACTGAGCAGTATTCCATTCTGTGGCTATTACCATATTTTGTTTACCCATTTGCTACTTGATGGGCAGTTGGATTATTTCCAGGTTTTGGCAGTGTGAATAATGCTGCTAAGAATATTTGTGTACAAGACATGACTTTCTCTAGATCTGCACTTTCATTTCTCTTGGGGTAAGTACATCCTTCTGCAGTAGAATCACTGGTTCGTGTGGTAAACTTACTTTGACTTGTTTTTTCCCAGTACTTGGATGGAACCCTGAGCCTTGCACAAGTGCTCTGAGCTACATGCCCAGCCCTATGTTTAACCTTTAAAAAAAAAATTTTTTTTTGAGACAGGATCTCGCTATGTAGCCCAGGCTAGCCTCAAACCCACACCAATCCTCCTGCCTCAGCCTCCCTAGTGCTGGGATTACATGCATGAGCCACCACGCCCGGCTGGTTAAGATTGTACAACACAAAGTAACTGTTTTCTCAAGTGGTTGTGCCATTTTTTATTCCTATTCCCCTGCAGGCAGAGGGACATCACCTAGGAGTGACAGGAGGTCAGCAGCCCCATTTGGGAGGAAAGAGAGGAACTGGGAAGCCAGGACACAGTGAACTCTAAATGGACAAGTCCATGGCCCAGGGACATGACAGGACTATGATGGCGTGGAGAAACTCCGCCCACCAACTAGTTGTGAGATGCTAGGTGTGTTTTCAGCCTCCCCAAACCTCATTTCTCTTTGTGTGAAATGGGTAGCATGCCAGGGCTGCCGGGAGGATTTCAGAAATGCTGAGTTAATGTTTAGTGGCCTGTGGGGCCCAGGACTAGTGAGCTACTGTTGTTCCTCTTCGCTGCACCCTCAGCCCTGGGACATCTGCCCTCCAGCCTGTCAGCCCCAGGCACATCCTTCTTCTAACCCAACTGGGACACTTCAGAGCTCCAAAAGAACGCCACAGGCTGCAGAGAGGGGATTATTTACATCAGAGACTCCACCACTGGGTAAACAAGCCTCCAGACCACTTCTGCATGGACTTGGCGTTGTCTAGGCAGCTCCTGCTGTCCCCTCCTGCGCTCCGTGTTGCTGGCTGGCCCCGCCCTCCCCCAGCAGGACTCCGTGAGTCCTGAGATCCTCCAGGTGCATCCGAAGAGGCACAGATCCAGCCCGGGAGTGAGAGGAACCAAGTATAAGTCTCAGCCTTGGTACTTCTTGATGATGTGAGCCTCGCCCATATCTGTAGAGCAGGGAAATCACAGCCCCACTTCACAGGCAGCTGGGTAGGATGGGGTGCAGGATGGGGGCGAGGGTGTGAGCCCTCTGGTGCAGCTCTGGTGTGGGGCAGTCATTCCCATCAGTGGAGAGACTGAGCCTAAGGCAGGGGGGCAGGGGAAGAGATGCCCTCAAAGCATCAGACCTTGGTTCTCTGCATTCCCTTCCAGCTGTTACCCAAGCACACTCGGAACTGTGACAATGCTGTCACCTCTGTCCAGACAGAACACTATAGCCTATCTTGCTGAAGCATCGCCAGGTGCATTTTCTTCATATCACTACATTTTAATTACAACAAAGTCAGCTGCAAGGAAAAGAATACCCAACTCAAAGAGGCTGATACAATAAAGACACTCAGGTCATCTCATGTAACATGCCTCCAATTCACCCAAAAAAAGTCACCAAGCCACCAGCACACCAGCTTTTTCTCCTGAAGGTTTGTCACCTTATGGCTGCCACAGCTCTATAACCTGGGCTGAGAAAGCAGAGCTTCCTGGCCCACATGTGTGTGTGCTGGGGAACTGAACCCAGGGCCTTCACACTGAGCTGCAGCCCAAGCTTTTTTTTTTTCTTTTTTTTGAGATAGGATCTACTAAATCTCTAAATTGCCCAGGCCAGGCTCAAAATTCCAATCTTGCTTCTTTAGCCTCCCAGAGTGCTGGGATTACAAGCATATAACACTGTGCCCGGCTGTTTTCTTTTTAAATAAAGGAAGAAATTCCTTCCTGTAGTTCCCCTACAGACATTCACTTACGTCTCACAGCCAAGGACCGGTCACCAGCGTTCCCCTTACCCAGCAGTGCACAGAGGCGACAGACGCTTTGACTTGCCTTAACTCTGCTCACAGTTCATCCCTGCGGCTGAGGGAAGGACTCAAAACTAAGCCAGCAAAGAGCGGGACTGGCTGCTGCCTCACTGAAGGAGCCCCTTCACTGATCAGAGGAAGAAGCTGGGGCCCAGAGAAGCTGAGACCCTCATGCAAGGCCACATGTGTCTTTGAAAACCCAGCTCTGGGGCCCAGCAAGGCCCTGCTCCTTCCCCACCGGGCATCTCTACTGTGACATCCTCTAAGCCTCCACAGGACAAGAGCTTATCCCCAGGACTCGGCACCAGGCTACAGGTGTGACATGGACAAAGTTAACACTGTGGGAAGCGGAGGCCCCATGGACCCCACTGCACCTCACACACCAGCAAGCCTACAGCTTTACAGCTCGGAGAGTCAAAGCATTTCCAGGCCCTGGCAAAAGCTTGGCAGGCGGACCAGCAGGACCCCAGAGCCTGACCAACAATATCTCTATAGCTCCCTGGACACCAGCCAAGCTGCCTCATTCCCCAGAGCTGACCTCATGCTTCTGAAGAGCCTCCGGATGCCTGAGGTCTGTGTGCAGCCTCGGGTTTCTGTTCTAATGCCAGCAGAAGAAACAGCATGGGCAGGGGGAGCACGGAGCCCAAGCAGCCCTGCCCACTGACACCCTGTCCCCTAGCCTTCCCCTCCACCAGGCAGGCCGAACTCCAAAAAAACTGAGTGACACCCCTAACCGCTGAGATGACACCCAAGACCAACTGTGTCCCTGCCTCCAACAATCTGAGGGTCCCTCCATGAAACACCCACACTCTGGCTACTTCTGCTTCATGCCAGGGTCCTGCTAAGCCAACAAAAGGCATCAAACTTCATGGAACGCGCTAAGAATGTCTCTGAAGTCAGTTCTACGGCTTGAAAGAAACGTGGAGAGCTCATAACCAGCCCGAGGTTTACCTAACCCAAAGCAAGACAGCCACCCACTCGGGCCTGTCCATAGCCACTAAAAGCACAGGCTCCCAGTGGACGGAGACCCCGAATGTGCGAGAAGAGAAAAGAGCACTTTGCCTCCACTTCCAGACTGTGCTTCAGCGTCAGACATTTACTTAAGGCTTGACAGCTGGCAAGGTGAATGGGCTAGATACAGCGTGTGTAGCCAGACCCAGGATACATGCTCGTTCCTTTTCCCTCCAGAGCACCCCTGTGTGATCGCTGAGACCCAGTCACCCAGGCTGCAGGTCCCACGTGAGGCATTTGTTATTCAAGTTCCCCCAAAAGCTTTTTTTTTTTTTTTTTCTCTTCATTCAACCACAGGGGCTCAGTGAGGATCGTGGAGAAAGAGACCGGGTCTTGGTTTGTGTAGCTCCCTTCTTCTGGCCTGACCTGGGTGGAGCAGTCACAGGAGCAAACAGTTTTAAGCTCTCCTTGCCGAAGCTTCCGGAATAGTGCTCCCATTCTTCAGAGCTTGCTAGTCTGCCCACCTTGAAAGCACGCAGGCTGCAGGGCTGAGAGAACAGAGTGGAATTTTCCATTTATAGAATAATCATCTTCCTACCACTTTGGGGCCTGCATGCTCGTGGTAGGAGCTCAAGTTCAGTGTCAGCAACCTTGCCAGGCTTCTGTGGGAGCCCCACAGCACTCAGGCTCTATTATTTATTTTTGGTGGGAGAGGAGGAGGAAATAAAGGATGACTTTTTAACTTGAGTGCCAACACAAACTCGGAAAGGAACTGCATTGGCGAAAGCAGAGAATATTACTGCCTGGTCTCAGGTCTTATATCAAACCACTGCGGGCTAGAAGATGAGGAAGTGCCTGACACACGTCTTCAAGCCCCAACCTGACAGGTGGTTGGAACAGGATCACTTTACTGCCTCAAATCCTTACCCGCGCCTGCCAGCGGGCCCTGGACTGCTGCTCCCTTCGGAGCACGTCGGGGCATCTCATGTCTCCTCTTCACAGCCTCCCCATGCTCAGTAATTGGGCTCCACGGATGCGCATCTCACTCTGAAATCTCTTCTGGGCCATAGCGTGGTGGAAGGGCCACGCAGCCATGAATGATGAGGCCCAAGCTGGGAGAGCTCCTCCTCCCACGGCTTTTTTGCTGATATTAGGGAGAAGTGGGGAGGGGAAAGGGGGTCGGTCATCCAAGGCTGGGAAGTGGCTGCGTGAGCTCTGGTCGCCATCCCGACCTCATCCCCAGCCAGGCAGAGGAAGACACAGACCTAGTCACCTGCTCAGACCCAGAACCCTGCGCTTGGGCGTGGGTGGGTCCCAGTGGCAGCCCCGCCTCCTCTCCCCGACTTTTCCTCATCTCCCGGCTGTGCGCTCCGCGCACGCCCCCCCCCGCCCGGCCGCCGCCAATCAGCACGCGGAGCGGCGCCCGCGGCGCTGGGACTCTGGTCTGCAGCCAGTGAGCGC